CAACATGGTCGGCATGAAATAAAAATCTAATATAAAAATCACGGGTAAAATTCCCACTAAAAATCAACCAGAATGTTAAATAAACTGTAATGATGACATTTTAAATTGAATAGCTGGGAGTTCAAGAAAATAAGAAAATCTCAGTAAAAGAGCTGAGACCCAGGCCCCAGGCTGTGGGGGCAGCTGGCTCCTGGGGCATCTGCCAGGCCAGAAATGGGGAGCCCTGGTGAGCGGCCTCCTGGAGCAGAAGAGCTGGGTGGCTGGAGCTGGGAGCTGGTCCAGACATGGCCAGCGACGTGACAAGCTTTCCTTATCCCCCTTTGCTTTCCGTGAGGAGAATTTAAAAATCTGTCACCAGGGGCATGACTTCCTGCAAGCTGGGTTCCCTGCTTATGTCACCTGCATGGTAGGGAGCCTCTGAGATGAGACACTGTGAAGCATTCCTGAATTGCAACACTGGGGGTGCCTGGCAGAAGCAAGCACCAGTTCTGGAAGGAAACGTCTCTGCCCTTGTCCCACGAATTTCCACAGATCAGCTTCAAGAGGCGCTCACGCACAAAGGCACCAACTACACCAAGAAAAAGCCCCTGTGAACAAAGTCAGCAGATGACAAACAGTGAAGCTGCACCCTTGAAACTTCAGATAATGGAGTCATCAGGCACTGAATACAGGTAAGTGCATTCAAAATGTGTTTTTTTTGAAAAAGAGGAAATTGAAAATATGAGCCAGAAACAAAATACTGTACAAAGGACCTTATCTGGGAAAAAATAAACCTGAAAAATGAAAATAAGGAGATACATTAAAGAGCAAATCAGATACAGATGAAAAGAGCACTCTGGGATGGGAACGATCAGATACCGAGAAACTACCAGAAAGAAGGAAGAAAGCAGAGAAAGGAAAGAAGGCGGCAGGGGCTTTCTGGGCCAAGAGGAGGCCGTTGTCCACCCAGAGCGCCCCCACTGAGCCCCACCCAGGAATGAAGAGAAAGAGACGTCTTCAGAAAACTAAGAACTGACAGCCCCCAGGCCTCATCTGCAAAGCCTGAGGAGGATGCTTCTGGGGAGTTAAGGAAGAATGTGAGCAAAAAAAGGCAAACCCAAGGAAACCTAGGACAGCCTGACCATTCAGGCAGTAGTAAAATGTAGGGGGTCCTAAAAACTAAGGTAAGGCAAATCCTGGACAGCAGATACCACCACGGATGGAGGGTGACGGAAGTCACCTGAGCTCTTATGCAGAATGAAACTTTCTCCTTCAAATCGTTGTGCTGGCAGCTCACGCTGCTTACACACACATGTGGACACGTCCAGGCCCATGGAGTGCCACCCACCCCGGGAGGCGGTTCCTGGGGCCTTTCGCTTGGCCGTTTTCAGCTGCAGTTCGGGCTTGCTGTCAGGAGGTGTATTAGATTCATTTTATGTCTATTATGTCGTTTTCTGTGCTTTGGGTAGGACTGATGCATTTCATTTTCCAACAGTTCAACTGAACTCTCATCTCAAGGTGAACTAATGGAAGCTGCTCCAAATGCCCAGTCCTGTTTATAATCCCTCAACCAGAAAAGGAAATAGAAAATGGAAGAAAAGCTGAAAGTAAAGTTTTTGAGGACATTTTCAGAACCTGAGCATATCGTCTGCTCTCTCCTTGAAACCGAGTCACAGAGCCGCAGTCACAGAGCCCTGCATCTTGACGCGTAACAGGATGACAAGCTTCCACATGACCTTACTTCTTGAGCCTTGGAAAGAAGTCACCTCAGTGGCAGGTTTTCTGTTTTTCACCCTAAGGTCAGCAGTAACCTTTCAGAGCTCCTGCCGCCCTCACCAATTATGACCCGGAATTAATGGAGAGAATAGAGAGAGTGGACTGTGCAGGACTCTCTCCCTGAACTGAAATGCTGTCTGTTTCCCACTGCAGGAAGGGTGGTCCCAGGGACAGCAGAGATTGGGTCCAGATATCCCCAGTGGACAGGCCATTCACACCTGGTTGCTGACAGGCTCTGCAAACTTACACGTCTGCAGGAAAGGGATAGTCCTGACGACCGGGATGGAAGTCCTCGATCCGGGTCAGATGCCAGGCTGCTCACTGTGTTCAGTGACCAGTTGTTGGCTCAGTGTTTGGGGACTGCAGCTTGCTCCTGGGGTGGGCTGCTCAGCAAGAGGGTCTGCGGTGAAGACTGGCAGCACAGCGTCCACCCACTCAGCCATAAAGTCACTCAGGGACAGGGCAGAGCTGTGGCTTCTATAGGCGATGTGAGAGCGCTGAGTTCCTGAGATCATCTTTGCCCCTCACGGGGCCCCCTCAGCTAATGGACTTGGGGAGGGACCTCAAGGCCATGCCATTTCTTTCACAGGCAGATGGAGACTCCCTGGTCAGCATGGGCTCACCTTCCTTCTGGGTGTGTGGCCGTTATGGGGTTGTTCTTTTCCCTGTGTGAGTCTCCATGTTGCCAGTGTTCTTGTTGAGCCTGGTATCTGCTTTTTGGAAGCAATGTCAGGAGCATGGAGGTGCGCACTGAGCGAGGCTTCGGGCCAAGCAGAGCCATCCTGCCTGCCTGCTCGGGAGGTCAGGGCAGCAGAGGTGGAAGCCCTTTGAGGCCCAGTCATGCTGTGACTGCCACTTCTTACCCATCATGCCTCTGGGGCTGCCCCACACCTTCACCTCCCTTTCCGCGCCCAGGGGCGCAGCATGCGAATAGACCCTGGACAGCAAGGCAAGGACTTCCAAACAGGTCGAGGCATCCACTCAGTCTCCCTCTGAGTGGGAGTGAAAAACAAATCATGTGCGGCTCTGTGGGTGGGCAGTCAGGGCTCGGGCTGCAGTGCCAGCAGAGCTTTCTGCCCTGATGTAGGCTCTCACCATCCGCTTTGTCCAGCGTGGCAGCTGCCGGCCACACGTGGTTCTGACACTTGAACTGTGGCCAGTGGAACTGAGTAACTGAAGCTAAAATTTTAATTTAGACTTAAGTACCATGTCTGGCAAGAAGCACTGTGAGCAGGACAGGTGCAGACTCCTTGAAATTTACCCCGGGGCTGTGCTGTCCCTGTGCAGGTGTAACAGAGAGACTCGCTCCAGTGTCGTATTGAACGTTAGTTTGCCAGGTCAGGATCCATGCTAACCTGGATTACCTGGTCATGCTAATTAATTTAATTTTCTCATTAATATTGGTCATAGGCTCATTATTTCCCCCAAATGTCATTGTTTGTTTCTAAAATACACTAGCCCACTATCAGCCTTCACAATCAGTGGTAAATAGAGGAAGCTTTCCTCGAAGTGTCATCACCTTGATCGTGAAGAACAGTTCAGGGAGAGGGCGGTGGTGCCTTGCCGATAGGCCTGTCCAGATGCACGGGAGCAGGGCCTGCCCTGCACGCCCCCTCAGTGGGGCTGCCTCCCCTGACCCAGCTGGGTCTGCGGGCTCTGCTCCAAGCTGGGATCTCGGCTCTGCCTCGGTTTGGGAGCACACACCTCTGCCCCACCACTTCCCCGAAGGGGCTGGGACTCACCTGTCTGAGAGTCAGGTTAGAGATACCCCAGGAACAGTGAGCACTGTCTCCTGGTCCTCCACTCTGCGTGGCCCAGTGCTGTGTAAACAGCTAGACCAGGATGTATATGCAAAACTGACTGGCCCTGCAGTTTCTGTGTTTCTCACAGGGACAAGCTTGCAGCTTCAGCCTCAGAACAATGGTCAGAGAAGGTGGGGGTGCCTTAAACATGACTCCCTGCTCCAGAGTTCCAACCCCAGGGGTCCCCAAGTGAGAATTCATCTGGGACAGGGTGGGGGTTGCCGGAAGAGGGCAACAGGACCCTCTGATCTTCTGGGACCACCCTGAGTAGGCAGACCTGGGTCCCAGGATTCCTACAACTCAAATGTAAATAGGGTAACTTGGTCCAAGTAATGATTAAGTGGTAATGTTATCGTTAAGAGCAAAACTAATAAGGCAAGCTAGGGCATGCAGGCAATGGTTTTGCAAGGTGTCTGCTGACAGGTAGTAACCGCCCTAGTGGGGGTGAGCATCTAATAATGTTGGGGAACTGCCAGCACTATGTTGTGCACTTGAGGCCAGTACAACATTGTACATCAACTACACTTCAGTAAAAATCACATCAGAAAGAGCCAATAAGCAAGCTAATAAGTAGAAGCATAGAGCTTTTTGTTTTGCTTTGAGTTTTTATTATAAAATGACAGTGAGGTTTAGTAACATACAGATTTGTCAGGACTCATTTGCAAGACAAAATTCACTGTGTAATAACATGTGGGTTATTTTTCTCTTTGTTTTATAAGGATTAGATAGCTCCATCAATAAAAATGAAAGCCAGGAAACAGCCCATGGGAACCAGGAATAAATTATGCCTCTTTGCAGCTGTCACTTGGTTTCCCATGACCGATGTTGACCCCCTTCTTCCAGCGCAGGACCCCTTGTGTTAGTGCCCCCAGAGGCCCCGTCGGGGTGCTTCCCACTAGCCCTCTCCTGCTCCTCGTGATTTCATGGAGTTCAAGAGCACCAAGCCAAGAAGCCCACCAAACTAAAAAATGCGAGTAATACTAAATTACAAGGAACTGCGGCTCAGCCTCTGGTTCTACGTTAGAAGGTACCCTTTGTCTGAGCATGGGCCGTGAGTGTACAGAGTCATGTGGGTTTTTCAGTATATTCAGACGTGTGTGGCCACATGAGCTTTTCCGCTGACCCACCACCCCGGAGGGCTGAGCGCACCTAACCCGGTGCTTCAGGGAGTGGCAGGTCCTGTTCCCTCCAGACAGATTGCTTTATGGGGACATCCAAAGTCATTCACAATGAATCATAAGAAAACAGTGGTCATTTAAAGACATGAATGTGATCTTTTGGTTCACAGTGGAGGCAGAACCCCAAAACCATGCTCTTCCGTGTGTTCCTGGCAATCAGCAGCCCAAAGTGTTGGTGAGGGATGCACCTTGGGTCTGGGGACTGCCCAGATCCTTTGTCCCGTGCTGGCCACCAAGAGCTCACAGATGCTTTCCTTCTTTGTAGATCATGTTTTACGTGCTGGTGAAGGCCACGTACACCCTGAGCTACAGCGTCTCTCTGATTTCCCTTACAACCGAAAGTATAATTCTCTGCCTCTTCAGGTAAGTAGTGGAAATGAGTGACTCTGCCAAGATTGTGAGCAGGAAGATGTGACCAGCATGAGCCACCTCAGCCCAAGAGAGCACAGCCTGCTCCCTCTCTCCATGTGCTGAGCTAGTGAAACTCCCTTGGAGAAGGCCGGTGGGAAATTCAACACTGATATGTGTGTCTTTATTTAAGTATCTGCATTTCTTATATAAAGAGAAAATGCTGACTTTGGATAAGAATTCAGTTCAACTCTTACTTACCAAATACGTAGGCATTATGCAAACACTTTGAAAACAGAAGCAACATGATCTTGCCCTTGTCATTCAGAAGCGCCTACGTTTTGGCCACCAGTGGTCTACTGAGAGACACTGTAATGTATTCGAGAGCATGAAGGCAGGGTTCAAGTCCTGCATTCAAGCCCTGGATCAGTCTTTTAGTAGCCGTGTGACCCTGGACAAATTACCTCACACCTCTCTGTGCATCTGTAAAGCATGGATACCAATGGAGCCCACGTGGCATGTGGTAAGCACTCTAAATTTTGCCACTGTTTTCCCTGTATTGAGGCTAGAGTTCCACCCAGTGAGCCTTGGTCTCCTTGGTAACTAATGACTGGCTACACTGCAGTTGTTCAGGGGTACAAGTAGAGGCTCTAACTAGAAAAAGCTAATGCACATATTAGGAATAAGTCCAAATCTTAAGCATCACTAAATAAAATGGGTCGGTTTTAATCACCACATGTAATTTCTTGCTCAAATATAGTTCAAATGTTGGCAGTATTCAGATAAAATCAGTGATATAACAATGGAATATTTTTAAAAACTAACACAAACTGTTAGGATACCCATACTTGGAAGTAAAATGGATAAGGCAAGACTGATTTAGAATATAGGTGGAAATCCAGCAAATATAATCAAATCATACTTTTCATTTTTCAGACATTTCAACTATATCAAGTAGTTGGTAATTCTCAGAAAGAGTAAATCAGTACCCTTCATCCAGAACTGTACTTTGAAAAATGTGGGGAAGATCTATCATATTCTAGTTCTATAAAAAATGCTGGTACAACATTAATATTTGTTCTGTTATCCTCTGTATTTTACTATGTATTTTTAAATGTTCAAATTATTAAAGATAAAAAAGAAAGGAAAATCATAGGTGGTGAGGTGGAACAGGATAACCTGAAGTAGAAAAATTTTAGCTTATTTTTAAACAGCTCCTATAGTGAACAATCCATATTCTTGACACTGGCAGTTTTCCTCATTCTGTACTTGGTGACATTTAATTAGCCAACTTCGGGGCATTTTGGAATTGCACTTAATCCATGGACATGATCCTTTAAGAGAATCTCAAATGGTTTTCTGAGTATCAAAAGTCATTAGTCACTTGCCAGTGATACTTCTTAGTTAGAAAAGGACACGTCTGCTGGCTCAACATGTAACGGTTGCTGGAAGCGTCACCCACAGCCCAGAGCTGGTGTACGGTTCTCAGCTGTGCCTTCTTCTTGGCCATAGAAATGCTTCCTGCCTCCAGGGGTCAGATGTGTCTGTCCATCTGATGCCCCTTCCTGGGAGAGTGGTGAGGAAGGTGACTCTAAAATCTGTATTATAAACATAACATCTCCACCATCTCCATAATCACAGCCAGGACACGGGATTCTTTGCTGGCATTGAACATTTATTGCCCGGAACAGCTGCAGAAGCTAAGAAAGCATTTAGGAACTGTTGCCAAGGAATGGACAGCTTCCATCCTCGACGAAGTACCGAAGCACTTCAGGCTGGGGTAACACACATGACCTAGCTTGGGCCCCACAGCTGTCGTCCTGGAGGGCATATGGGGTCCAGGTCTAGGCAAAGCCGCTCTAGTCCCCACAAACCCAGGAATCACAGCTATTACTGCCACACACAGCATGCCATGCCTTCCGTAAGAGTTTATTTTATCCCTACAGCATTTCCACCAGTGCTGCCTCTGCCCGGTTTTACAGTTAGAGAAAGGAGGCCCAGAGAGGCACCCCACATTCCAGGTCACTGAGCTGGAGAGGCAGAGCCCTGATTCACGACCACCCAGGCCTCCCGTTCCCTGGGGGGTTGGCATGTTCTCCAGAGGCCGTGTTCAGCCATCACCATGAGCAATTCCAGCCCAGCTTATCAGAAGCCACACCTGCAGTCACATCCAGCTCCCTTGTGCAGAGCCTCATTCCGAAGTAAATTTTAAAATGAGCGATGCATGATGAGCTTAGCCAAGACACCCAGCAAACGTGACTCCCTGGACGGCATGTCATCTCTGAGTCATGGCAATAGATCCTGATCTCTGCAGTGGAGAGGTGTAGGCAGGAGGGAGGGAAGGAGAAAAAGGAAAGAAGAAAAGAAAGAAAAGGTGATTTGGAGAGATAAATGCAGCCCCAATGAGAAGCCAGCAGGCAGTGTCTACATCTGTAGCCCAGCGGTCCCACAGCAGTTTATTCCACAGCCCCCTAGACACCAAGGACATTTTACAGCCCATTTAATGTCCTCATTTACTATGGCAGTGCTGTTAAATATGTTAAAATAAATGTCTACTAATGAAGTACATGTTCAGGGAAGTGGGTAAATCTTTCATTGCCGCTGATGCATGTCTTCAAATGAACAAACACCCATATCAAGATTTAGGACATTATCAGCCCCAGAAGCCATCCCCACATCTGCTCTGTGTCCTTGAAAGTGGCCATTATCCAGATTTCTGACACCAGATTGCTTTTGCCATTTTTGAAAATGCTGTCTTAGAATCACACAGAGGAAGTCTTCTGTCTTGGGTTCCCTCAAACAATATTTTGCAGGGCAAATCATCCCTGTTGCTGATGAAGTCATCCTGTTCTCTTTTATTGTGTGAAGTAGTCCGTTCACTGAGCACAATACTATTTACTTGCCCCTCACTGTTCATGGATGGTGACTCTTAATTTGGGACCACAAAGGGCTGCTGCGAAGACCCTTGTGTGCCTCCTGCACATAATTACACGCTTCCTGAAACATGTGTCTGTGTATCTGTGTGCACATTTACATTTGTATGGACATTTACTTTACACTTACCAGCCATAGGCTATGCATAGTCTTTCTAGGAACTGCCACCATTGTCAGAGTGTTTGCACCCTGCAGGAGCCTGCCAGCCATGCAGGGGATTGACAGTTGCTCTGTATCCTTGCTACCACTTATCATTAGCTTTTTAAAATTTAGACATGCAGTTGGGTTTATAATAATACAGAATGATGTTCTTAATTTGCATTTCTTGATGGCTGATGAGGTCATCTGGATTTTTTGAGGTGTTGTTTCATGTATTTGTTCATTTTTCTGTTCTGCTATCTCCCTTCAAATTGATTTTTAAGAGTCATAGAGGGGAATTTTTTGTCAGATACCTAGTATTACAAATTTTATCTCTACCTCTGTGGTTATCTAGACTTTATCTCTAGACTTTAGACTCTCTTGGTGAGCCTTTGATCAACAAAAGTTGTTAATTTTAATGAAGTCCATTTGTTATCTGTATTTTTGGTCAGAGCCTCCTGAGGCCTATTTAAGAAATCTTTGCTATATTCCCCTTTGTTACCACCTAGATATTTTATCATTTAACTTTTTATGTGAAGGTCTATGATACACCTATAGTTTATTGTGTGTGGTATGAGGCAGGGGTCAAGGCCCATTTAGTTTTGGTTTCAATTCCCAGGTATCTCAGTTTTTAATCATGAATAGGTGTTGAATTTTATGATTTTTATACATATAGTGAGATGAGTAGATGGTTTTTATCATTTGTTCATTTAGTGTGAAAAATTGCACAGATACGTTTTCTAATATTGAATCTACTTTTCATTCCTTAAATTCGCCTTACTTGGTTGTGTTGTATTATCCTTTCATGATATAGCTGGGTTTAATTTGTTAATATTTTGTTGAGGAATTTGTACCTACATTTGTGAATTTGATCTATTATATTCTTTCTTATAAAATTAGGCTCTCATCTGACAGTTACACTCACCCATTAGTGAATAAGAAAGTGTTCCCTGTCTTCTAGGCTGTGGAATAGTTTGGGTCAGATAAGGTGGTATTTCTTCCTTAAAGTTTGTAGAATTCACCAAGGAAGCCATCCGGGCTGAGAATTGTCAGGGGGAAGGTTTAATTTCTACATTCAGGTGTTTTAAATTAGACACATGATGATTCAGATTCTCTATTTCTTACGTTAATTATAAGTTGTTGTTTTTTTTCAGGGAATCTGTCCTTTTAATCTACATTTTCTATATTCTTTTGTTATACATTTAATGTATATAAGAGCTATACTGATATCTCCTTTTTCCTTCCTGGTGTTGGTAATTTGTGTTTTCCTTGTTTTTATCTTGCTTTTAAGCTCTTACCGATTTTATCAGTGTTTTCCAGGCACAGCGTTTTGACTTTGTTCATTCCTTTCTTGTGTGTTTGTTGATTTACTAACTTAGCCTCTTATTTTTATTATTTCTTTAATTCTGCTGTCTCTGGTTTTACCTTAGTGCTCTTCTTCTAGTTCCTGGAGACAGATGCTCACACACTGACAGTGCTGTTTGTCAACAGTACGTCATCTGTGTCTGCAAACCACCCCCTCAGTCCTGCTGTAGTTCTGACTTCCAAGTTTTAAGATGTGTGTGTTTCCCATTATCATTTAGTTCTGATTTTTCTAAACTTTTCTTGTGGTTATTTTTAATTTCATAGGCTATAGAAATCTACAGCTTAATTTCCAATCAGTTATTAATTTTTTATTCAGCTTTTTATTAAGGATTTCTAGTTTAATTCATGGTGATCAGTACACTGCATGAATTTGATCCTCTGAAATTTGTTGAGGCTTGCCATATGACCCAAAATATGGTATATTTTGGCAAAAGTTTCCTTTTCAGTTGAAAAAAATGTGAATTCTGCAGTTAGTGTTTTGTATGCTAAAAATGTCATTTACATCAAGTTTGTAATCACATTATTTAAATATTCCAATACCATTACTGATTGTTTTAACTGCTTGTTCTATCAGTTACTGTTTTAAAACCTCCAGCTATTATTGTGGACTTGTTTCTCTCTTTTTATTTAACTTACACTATTTGCTTTATGTATTTTAAGGTCATGTTATTAGGGGCATACTAATTTAATATTTTATCATCCTATTAAATCATCCATACTTAGTAGTGCCCCTTGCCTTAAAAATCTACTTTACCTGATATTAATATAGTTATGTTAGCTTTCTTTCACTTGATATTTGCAAGGCATATTGTTTTCTATACTTTTATTTTGAACTTCCCGGTTTTTAAATTTGTGTGTCTTCTAAGCTCCATGGGATTTGCTTTTTATTACCACCCTATTTTTATTTTTACATGCAGTATCTTTACACCCATATTTAGACTACTCACTAACAACCTGCAGTTCTGACCCACCTGCATCTCTCTGCTGTCTCGACTGCTCTTTGCTGCTTTTGCACTCGTTCTGTGTTTCTTTTTCTTTTATCAAATATTTTTATTATGCAAGTTTTCCCTTTTTAGAGCATTAGTCATACCTTCTATTATTATTCTTCTCGTTGTCACCCCAAATTTACAACATGCACCTCTGCCTCATAGGACGTAGCCTCCAGTTACCATTTCACCACTTTCCAGTGATTTAAGGACTTTACATACAACTCCATTTACTCCATGCTTTAGGTGCTATTGTTACGTGTTTTAATTCTACAAATATTTAAAATACTACAAGACACAGCTATTGTTTTAAAGTAAGTATTTATTTAGGGCACCCACATATTTGTCTTTCCTGGTGCTCCTTGGCCCCCCGTGTCTCCACATTTCCATCTGGGTTCACCCTCCTGCTGCCCGAGGACCACCCTGTAGTGTTTCTTTCAGCACCATCCTACCCATAATGAATTCTCATTGTCCTTGACTATCTGAAATCATCTTAATTTTGTCTTCATTTTTAGGGTAGTTTTGAGAGTTTTGAACTCTTTATTGACAGTTATTTTCTTCCATCACATTAAAGATGTACATAATTATTTCTTTTGAAAACTCAGCTGCCAGTCTCACCATTGTTCCATTGAAGGAATATGTCTTTTTTTCTCAGGGGCTTTGAGATACTTTTTTCTTTGTCTTTGGTTTTCACAGCTGCACTATCATGGGACTCACTGTGGCTTCCTTGTATTTCTCCTTTGGGGATTAGTGGGGCTTCTTTAATCTATTACTATAACAGTTTCAAAAAGTTCTTGTCTAATAGTTATTAAAATATTGCTTGTACTTTATTCTCTTCTCTCCTTCTGAAACTCTATTTTCCCATATGACCGATTTTTTCACCACCTCCTATATATTTCCTACTGATTCTCTCCATTTTCCATTATTTTGTTTCTCTTATCTAGACATATTCTTCTGGACTATTTTCAATTCATGGTACTCTCACTATGTCTAATCTAATGTTAGACCCTGCTTTTAAATTCTTAATTTTGGGCTTTTTTTTTTAAGTTTTAAAATTTCCATTTGATTTTTGTAATCAGTTCCATTTGCTAATAAAAGCCTCCATCTCTTCATCAATTTACCTGAGTATATTAATCAGTGTATATTTAATACACTCTGTGTATTAAAATACCAGATCTGAATGTCTTTCTAAAATTGTCTATTTTTTTTTTCTTTTTAACTTGACAGTTGATCATTTGGTCCTGTTTCTGGCATGCCTAGTTATTTCTATTGAAATTACACATAATTAAATTACAGAGGCTTTAGATGATATCCCACTGCAGAGAGGTTTTCTAACAAAATAGGCAGAGCACCAGTCGGGACTGAGTTGATCTGAGGCTGTATTTCAGGCTTTGTGAAAACAGGCTTCTCTCTGGTTCATCACTGTTTCTGGATCACAGCTCTTTAGGGTTTCCAGTGAAAGCCTGGGAGTCCCTCTACCCCACAGACACTGAATTCTGCACATGAAATTGCTAAAATTTCTTCCAAGCATGTCACTTTCTTGGCCCCTGGGTTTCACTTCATTTCACCCAGCACGTGAACTTGGGACCCAAATGAGTGTGAGGCCTTAGGTAATCACCTGCTGAGCTCTGGACTCTTTTCCTTTTCTCCAGACCTGCAGCCCCTCACCTGTTACCCTGAAAGCCCCTCACTCTGCTGCCATCCCTTGCAGTGACACTGTGACAAGCTCAGGGCTTTTGCTCCCTAGATGGTCCCTAAGCCCTGAGACAGACAGCCTGAGAGACAGCAAAGGGGCAGGTGTGGATGCGTTTCCCTTCCCCGGGTCCCAGTCCTTCCATTCTCCGCTGCTTGGCTGCTGTCCAAAGCCCTGCCCACTTTGAGGGTCATGCTCACCCAGGTGGGAAGGCGGTCAGTAAGCTGCTCGTTCATACCCACAGAGGAAGCCCACTTTAGTACGTATTTTTAATGTTCTTCAAAATGTTTAAAATTCACCTAAACCTAGAGAGCTAATGTTTAATGACCCTATAAGTGCATTTATGTAGAACAGCTGGTTTTCCTAATGACTTCTCAATTAAAATTCAACTCAAATATTCAATAAGTCTTCTCCAAAGCAGAGTTTAAGTGTTATAAGAGCATTATAAACAAAACGTTCTGAGCATTTTTAGATATGCAAGATATCACAGACACTGAAGTCCAGTAACAGGGCATTCCACGTGAGCCTTGCTGGAAACAGTGAAGGAGGCGCACGTGCCATACGGGCCTGGGCCTAGCCCTGCTGTTCATACTTTCACTCTAAGGTCCTGTTCGAGGACCCTGACCTGAGGAGCTCGTCAGGAATTAGGGTAAAGATTCATGTACAAAAATATTTATCGTAATACAAAACAGAAAACATCCTTGATATACCCTAGGGAGTAGTCAGATAATTATTAGCTTCATTAAAAAAGAAGGAAGCCTTCGGGTCAAAGTGCCCCCGCGTCAATGGGTGACAATCCATCTCCCCGCCAGGAGGCTGCACTGTACGCGCAACCACATCCACCTGAACCTGTTCCTCTCCTTCATCCTGAGAGCCGTCTCGGTGCTGGTCAAGGATGATGTTCTGTACTCCAGCTCCGGCAGGCAGCACTGCCCTGACCAACAGTCCTCCTGGGTAAGGCCACCCCTGTGGGCAGAGTCCTCTTGCTGCGGCAGGTGGGGAGTGGGTGGCCTGTAGGCAGTGCAGCCGCCAACCTCCCTGCTCAGCGACCCACCCCTCCTCCAGACCCCACTTCCCGTGATGAAGTCCTGGAGCTGGTGCACAGGCTCCAAGAGGTCGCGCTCAGGCCTGAGAAACAGGCCTGGCCATAACGCGGGGGCCCAGAGTAGGCCCAGCTCTGCAGGTGAGACAAGGGGGTGGACACAGGCAGGCGGCTGGCTGGGCCCCCTCCCCCACTGCCAGGGCTTGTCAGCAGCAGTTTCAGGCTGGAAAATCCTGACATGGAGGGACGAGCACAGAGCCATCGTTCTGTCCCCAGATCTCCTTGATTCTGTGTGGGAGATGCTCCCATCAGTCCCCTGCACCTGCTGGGAGCCCAGCTGCACGTCTGTGAGGGAGCGTGGGCTCAGCCCTTAGGCACAAGGGCACCTGCATCAGTCACCGGCTCCCACAGACGCAGTGGGGTGGCCCCTGCCGCCCCGTGGTTCTCCAGCCGCTGGGCTCAGGGAGTGCGCGAGCCGATCTCCAGTGCCAAGCCCACTGCAGCGTGGCATTTATCAGGCCCCTCACGCGCAGGCCGCTTCCTTGCTCCTCTCCGCTGCATGGCGCCGGTGTCCTCGGGATGCTGGCAGGCATTCGGGCTCTGGTGCCTCGCCCCTGACGTGGTCGCGCCTCCTGAGGTCGGCTCCTCTTTCCTGCAAGGAGCCAGGACGCTGCCCCGCCTTGTGTTCTGGCCGGATGGCTTTGCCGCACAGTTGCTCTGCACTGGACAGATGTGTTCTGATTTGGTTTTAAGAAGTGAACCCCTTTCCACACCACAGAACATCAGCTGTGCCATCAGGCTGCAGGTGAACACATCTGGGAGGATAATCGGCTCACAACCCACAGGCACTCTTGTCACACCCAGGAGCCCACAAATCCCACCCCAGGAAGTCGGGGAGTCTCCTTGTATGACAAGCACTGGTGTACCCTGAGGAACCGCCAGCATTTCCCTGGATGGCCTCAAAGCTCGGAGGAGCCTGCCGCCTCCACTGAGTGTCACGGAGCCACAAAGACCAGGCCTCTGACCATGAGCCGCATCTCAACCCTCTCCTGCCATGTGGACAGTCCTGACTGGCTCCTCACCAAGGGATGGGGGAGGGACGGCACCTGGGGGGGCAGGCCAAGGGTGACCTGCCCTGCTGGCACCCCACCAGACCTCTGCCACCCCTGTGGATGGGACCACCCCCAGCCATGGCTGGAGCCCCTTCCTGTGCTGGGCTTTGCCTGCGGACCCTATCAATGGTGCCCAGCCACCTTCAAAAGAGCAATTTGCCCATTTGGTAAATGAGGATGTGGGGCTGAGGGAAGCCCAGCCACCTGCGGTGTGTCACTGCTGACTGGGCTCAGGCTGCGCTCTGGCCAACTTCAGGCCCACAGCCCTGCTGAGATGCCTGCGGGGCTACTCGGACTGTCCCAGTGGCTCTGAGGACCGCCGTTCTGGGATGGAGTGGGCAGGGGTGCCTCCTCTCACCACCCCCAAAGCATGGAGCAGAGGTAGGGCACCAGATGCCACCAAGATTCCTGTGCCAGGGGAGGAAGGGAGGATGGGGGCAGCAGGGAAACGGAGCAGAACATGAGCGGGGGGAGAGTGGGGCCCCGGGAGGAGAAGGGCTCTTCCTTGTCATTGTCCCTTCATGGGTGCAGAGCCTTGAGTGAGCCCATCGGCCGGGACACTTGGGCCCCACGTGGGGATGGGAAGAAGGAGCCTTTCTTTCAGTTATGCTTTTTTGACACTTCTCTTCCCAGCTGGGTTCATCCAAACTCACTCCCCCCAACCAGAGCACCTGGGGTGGGTCCCCCAGTGAGGCACTGACGTCTTTCCTCAGGGTGTGCAGATAGGCCAAGGCATGAAAAAGCCTGTTCCTTTTCGGAAGCCCCCAGCCCCCCCCACCTCTGCCCGCACGGCCTGCACGCCATGGCTGCCTATGAGCCAGGGTGGTCTGGGATCGCCTGGCTGCCAGAGGCCATGCATGGGACATATAGGAGGTCATTCTCACTGAGACCAGAGCACATGGCATGTGGGGTCCCTGGGGATGCTCTGAGTCCCAGCCCAGGCTTCCAAGGCCATCCCTGAGGGCCTGAGTCCCCAGCTCAGGAGGGACGCAACTGCTCAACTCTGAGCCAGCCACACCCCTGGCCTGGGAAGAGCATGTGTATCACAGGGCCAGGCTGGAGGCTGGGTGAGGGTCCTGGGCCCACCGAGCTACCACATCGGCCACAGCCCGAAGGACAGAAGGGTTGGAGAAAGGGAAGTGAGCAGAGGGGCACAGTGGGTGAGGTGCTCACTGCGTGCGCCCTTCAGACTCAGTTCCTGTGTTTGCATCCATGCCCGGAAAGACCACCTGCCTGAGGCTTGCATGGTGCTGTGGGAGCCCTACGCCCTCAGGGGCAGAGCAGCTGTGAACGGGACCCAGGAAACCACCCTGCGGCCATCACCACAGACAAGTAACTCTGCCCCAGGCTGAGTGCAGTGGGGGCTCCGGGTGTCAGGCACACCCCCGCGCCAAGGCCCACCTTCTGTGCTGGCCCCATAGCTGTCTGAATGGTATTTCACACATTCAAAAAAATATCCTGTTTTGCTTGCTCATAATCAGCAACTATAGATGTCACTAGGCTCCCAGGGACCAGAGAAATGCCTTCCATTCCCATAGGGCCTGGAATGGACACGCATGTCCAGGTGTGACAGCAAACCATACCTGCAGCAGCGCAGGAGACACGCGGCTTTTCCTTCTCCTTTCGTGGACTTGGGCCTCTTGTATCACAAAGGGAGCTGAAGATTGCCATTTCCCAGGGTCCCCAGCCGTGCACGCACTTGGGCTTGATCCTCTGCTCTGGTTTGTCTGGTTTTTATCCAACTGCCCTGGGAAACCATACTCCAGAGAACATGAACACCAAACTGGAAGTTGACCTTCTGTGGCAGCCCTAGCCAAGGCGGGCTCCTCCCCTCCACCCTGGTCCGTGCGTGTGGGGCTTGCAGACCAGGGCCAGGCAGGTCAGGACTGCTGCTCTCACCACTGGCCTGGGCAGGCTCTGCCCCCACGTCTTTGGGATGCCGTCAAGAACTCTGAGGGGTGTGGTTTGAAGCCCTTGAGGATGAAGCTAGCTGGGAGCGCCATGCCCTGGGCCTTGCAGTCCTCGAGGGTGGTGATGTTGAATGAGAAAATGGACCAGATGCAGACACAGTATTTGCAGTTTTCCCAAGAAAATGAAATAATCTTAAAGACCATTTTTCTGCATCCTCTTCCTCATTCAACAGGACGTCGTGGAAATCCTCCAAGCCCAGGGGGTGTCAGTGTTTCCTTTAACTGACCCTGCAGCCCAGCATGTGGCTGTGACATCCCACCAAGCAGGCACAGCCTCAGTGTTGTGGTTCCTGCTGGCACACACATCTTCATGTGCAGCGCCTCGTCTCTGTCAGATGGAGCTCTGCAGGGAAGCAGTGCAGTGAACACTCACACTTAGAACTGGGTCACTTTCCCAAAGGCCAGAGAGCTGGCGGCTCTACCCGCCACACACAGCTGCAGCCTCTGCTGGTCCGGCAGCACGTGCCTCCCTGTCCACACCAAGCCCAACAGCATGACTGCCCCACTGACAGGCTATGGAGCGAGTTTCCCGTGTCTGTGGCTGTTAAAACGTGCATTTCTGTGTCCGTGAGGCCCTGGTGGTAGGACTCAGGGTCCCAGCCCCAGTAAGCAGTGCCCCTTCCCTGTGCTGCTCCTCAGAGGCCTAGGGCAGGAGGCGCGCAGGCTGGAGGGCTTAGGACTGTCAGCCAAAGTCCTTGCAGCCTGACGCCGGCTTGACAGGCAGCCACGGGTCCTTTTAAGCACCCCACAAGTATGTATGCAAGTGGATATAAACATACATCCACATGCCATATGAAAGTATCTGCATCTGCCCTGCTTGTGTGCCCACGCACGTGTGAGCATATCCACACCATGTGTGTCCACATTATATAAGCATATCCATCCCACACGTGTCCATGCCCATGTGTACACGTCAGTATATCCACATAAACATGAAAGTGTATCCACATATATGGACGTACGCACAGCCACACGGTAATTTTGGGGGGAGGCTGCAAAGAGACAGAGAACAGAAATTAAAGTCCTTTTTTTCAGGACTCCTAAGTAAATTTAATGATTAAAAGGAGCAATTTAGTGTTTGCATGTGAAGTTGGAACACCTGGTTCATTTATTACGTGAAGGCCTGAGAGATTGTATTTAAATATATATGCTTATTATCCTGTGCAATTTTCTCCCCAGAGAAAACCCTTCCAAAACTCCTGGGGAAATAATTGCTGGTTTCTCTTCCTTTTCTGTTTATTTCTTCATCCCTTTTAAGAATAGATCTTGGGAAGGACAGAGGGAGGAGGGTTGAGTGGAGGATGGAGAGCAGGGAGGGATGCGGGGAGCCCTGAGCACAGCTCTGGGGGCTGTCCGAGGTGCCAGCACCTGTGGGGCCTGTGCACACCCGCTCCCCGCTTTCTCTCCTCTCCTCAGAGCAACGTGGGTGTGGTGCTGGGGGGCAGCTCAGGCTGTCTTGTGCTGTGCTCAGGGCCGTGCCCGTGCTGGTGTGTGACCCTGCAGGTTGGCTGCAAGCTGAGTCTGGTGCTCTTCCAGTACTGCGTCATGTCCAACTTCTACTGGCTGCTGGCCGAGGGGCTGCACCTGCATGCCCTCCTGGTGGCCATGTTCCCCGGCTGCTGCTTCACAGCCTACCTCCTGATCGGATGGGGTAAGCTGCCCAGCACCCTCCCACCCCCTCCCTGACCCCTCCCTGCTGACCTGGGGGGTACTTTTCAGCTCGGAGAACCCCTGCTCCCCTGTAGGGTGCACTCAGATCACACAGGGGTGAGCTTTTCTAGGAGACTTCAACTGCCAACACATTACCATTTCTGGGACCCAGGAAGCTGGTTTAAAATCGCACTGAGCTCACATTCCTGGAGTGTGCCCAAAGGGGGGACAGGCGGGAAGAAGAGCGCAGGGGAGACAGAGCAGGAAGCCCTTCCACTGTGAGGGGTCATGGGAGCACAGCTGCCCTGCACTTGAACGAGTGCTCCTGATGCACAGTGGGTGCTCAGCGTTCAGACACACTCGTCTTCACACTTTAATGAGGCCCGGGCGTGAGCTGGCATCTGTTTATGAGGTGGTTCTGCTTAATCTCGTCATCAGAGAGCCCTGGTCCCCGACGGCCCTGGCTGACGAAATGCACAGCTGTGTCGTCCCTGCTGGTCTGCACCCAGTGACCAGCCGGGGCTGTGGATGACCGGGTGTCTTTCTGCAGGTGTCCCCACCATCTGCACGGGGGCGTGGGCCGCCACCAGGCTCTCCTTAGAGGACACGGGGTGAGTGCCACGCCCATGCCTCTGCCTTTGGAGTGGGAGGGGCTGCACGGGTCCTCCGGCCTCATCTGCATCTGCAGGCACAGCCAGGTCAGCAGGAAATGAGCGGCTCTGAGCGCCGTGGGGAGGGCGGTCCCTGGGTCGGAGTGTTTGGAGAGAAGGGATCCAGCAAGCCTTGCTGCAGAGCGGGAAGCAGGATAAACCAGGCAGATTTAATCACAGGAATCAGGGTCGTAGGTGAGGGGAGCAGTGTTCACACAGGGAGCCGGGCAAAACACACGCAGTGTTTGCTGAGCCAAGGGTGAGGGTGAAGGGTCAAAGGTGGGCTGAAAAGGTTGGAGGGCAGCTCTGAATGGTTCTCCACCTCTGCCTGGGTCCTACGTGCAGAACACAGTGCAGACAGGGTGCAGAGCAGGTGGCGGCCCCACCCAGGCACCAAGTGTGCCCACTGTGAATACTGTGAGAGGGGCTGTTGGGGCTGGAAGTCACCCAGTACCAGTACCGATCCACCCAGAATGGGGACTTGGGTGATCACGGTGTGCTCATGTGGTGTGCTGCTGTGTGCAGCCGTTGGGGCCGACTGTGACGGTTCTTCCAGCCTTAGCCTGGCTCACACTGGCAGGTGCAGAGAGCCTCAGCTGGAAGGGTTGGGGTTGGGGTCAGGGTCATGGTTCGGGTCAGGGTCAGGGTTAAGGTTCGGGTCAGGATCACATTTGGGTTGGGGTCAGGGTTAGGATCAGGGTTAGGGTTAGGGTTGGGGTTAGGATCAGGGTTTGGGTCAGGGTTAGGGTTGCAGTTAGGTTCCCAAGGGCTTCACATCCTATTAGCAACACCAGCTCAAGCTGGGGTCGAGGGTAGGTCTCTTTCCTGCTTGGGAGGGGCTGCTGTCCCCCACTGCTGGATTTGACAACAGAGGGAATGTTGGGGACCCTCCAGCCCTTTAGGCAGCTAAAGGTGCCTCCAGGACAGACGTTTCTAGCTGTGCTGGCCTCTTCTGCTGCACAGACATCTTAAATGTCACTCCATATATACATTCAGACCTTGGAAGTGAGGGAACCGGGGTTCAGGAGAACGTCCCTGGATCTGCTGTTAGCCACAGCAAGTGGTAGCTGTGCCGGCTGCCCGGGTATGGCTGCCGTGTGCTTTGGCGTCCCCGCTACCCGAGCCATCATGGCGAGAACACAGGGAATCAATCTCGACAGGGCAGCCACTCTCTGAGAGGTGCAGCCACTCAAACGGAGCTGAGCAGCAGGCCTCCCAGCCAACCCCCCTCCCAGGCTGGGGGGCTCCACATGACATGCTGTTTCTTTTTGTGCAGGTCAACTTTGTCCTTTTTGTATTATACGAATTTTACTGCAGAAGTTGACGTCCCCAGGTGTCGGTGGCAATGACCAGTCACAGTATAAGTGAGTATGTGCTTAGATCCAGGGCTGAGCGGTCCTCACCACAGGCCTGGGGCCAGGGTCGCACACCCAGCAAAGCGGCCCAGGCCCTTCTGTGGTCAAGGGCATGTGCTCATGGCTGATTCACGGGACTGCACATGGCTGAGGCCATGTCTTGCCCAAGGGGAGAGTAGCTGCAGCCCCTTTCCTTTGTGTCGGCATGGACGCCCTCCGGGAGCCACTATTGATGCTTTTGCCTGTTCTGTAATCTGACTTTTCTCTTTGGCCTCACATTGCTGGTATTTTATGTTTAATCCTTTCTTCCCCTTCAGACCATGGGGCTCATGCCCACACCTAATGCCAGCCTTGTCCTTAGTGGTAATTCAATTTGTGTTTGTTAATTGGTGATCATGTGAAGATGGTCTTCATCATCTCCACTCAGTGGGAGTGGGAGTCACCCACAATCACCCAGCCAATTAATGAAGAGCTGAGAGACTCTCTGAAGGAATTAAAGATTCTACAAATTTCTATCAAGAATTTATAAAGAAAAAATAAAGCCCAGGTCTCTAGTATAACATCAACACTATTTAAGTGTGGAGTGGTTGGTCCAGCCGCTGGGAGCCTGGGGACAGACAATCAGGTCCAGACCCCAGCCACCCACCTGCCCGTCCATGGGCCCCACCCCACCAGCTCCTGCCTCACCCTCCTGTAGACCTCAGGGCCTAGGGAGGCAAGCAGGCAGCATCCCTGGTAGTCTGGAGCCCTATGCCAGCTGGAGGCCTGTGGGAGTAGATGCCCCCTCTGGGCCAAGGTCTCCTCAGCAGGAAGTTGGGAACTGTAGTCACCATCTCCAAGCTCAGGAGGAGTGTCAGTGTCCAGATGGCACACAGTGCCCGGCCCCACCTCTGTGAGAGCCTCGCAGGCAGTCACCCAACTGTGCCCTGGTGTGTATAAATGCCGGTCGGCATCAGAGGGGGCTGCACAGAGCCTGCACTTAGAGAAGGTCCCATGTCAGGCCGGGAGGTCAGAGCAGTTCCGGCTGCAGCGTCTGAGCAGCATTTTTAGCTTGGGTGAGAGGCCGGGCTGTTCCCTGGAACCCCCTTCAGGCTGGCAGCCCTTTTCATTCTCCACGAGTCTTGCTTAGCTTCTGTGCTCACCTTTCTCTGGTTTTGGGGGACTTCCTGTTAAGTAGGTCTAGAGATGAATGCTTTTATTTTGGAAACAAAATTAAATAAGGACAATAGAATATTTTTCCAGGATAACAAAAAAGGCAGAGCACGTCTGGCGTCCCTCTGATTGTATGTTGGTGTCTCTCCCATGTAACTGTCGTATCACGAGTGGTAGTAACCACTCTGCCTGGACAGGTACCCAGAGGTCAGTCTTGCTGGGACCCTTTTCTGGAAACTAGCATGATGCAAATGTCGGATGTATTAACGATGAGAATTTGGGCGGGTTGTCCCTCTAGCATGTAGCCAAAGGCACAGATGCCCACAGGGTCTCAGCGTCTGCTTACCAGGCAGCCTGAGCCGAGAAGCAGGTAAGCACAGCCTGGGCCCCACAAGGGCATCTGGCGGCAGTGTGGAGTCCCTGGCACCCTCCTTGCTGACTGAGAATCCAGGGTATTCACAGCTGCTGCAGAATGGGAGGCTCAGGGTCTGCGCAGGCACAGGAGATCCCGCTGGTTGTCAACACCACAGGTGTTTGTTATGAGAGAAACTGGGGGGAATGAACACATTTCTGAAACTTACATCTAGGCTCTGAGGGCTCGGTTTCAGGCCAGTACGTCAAAAATACATAAAGAAATCTGTGACTTTATTCTAACTGTTGGGGGTCAACTAACAAGAGCAGGAGGGCAAAGTGGAGCCCCCCTCCCCACTCAGGAAGAGGCAGCTGGGTGGTTGGAGAGCCTGCTGCAGTCACTGGGGGTCCACATGCACATGTCACCTGGGGGCTGAGGCCCTGCACTCCCAGCGAGTCCCCAGGTAGCCCCAGGGATCCAGGTCTGTGGCCCCAGGGGCCTTGCAGGGGTCAGACTTGGTCACACTCTGTAGTCACCCAGAAGATGTGACACTGGCATGGGGCACACCTACCAAGACCCACCTGAATGGGAGTGGGGGGCAGGCTGGACCGAGCAGCCAGGTGATTCTAGGCCACAGCAGTGAGGGCGGCTGCCTTATAGTGGCGGTTCCCGATGTGGGGCCCCCAGACTGCAGCCGCAGCACCTCTGGGAAGTTGGCAGATACAGGGGCTCTCAGGCCAGGTGCCAGGCCTGCAGGTCCAGCATCTGCTTTTCAACGCAGCCTGCAGGGGTTCCAGTGCAGCTAAAGCTTGAGAAGCACTGACTTGGAGAACTGAGACACAGAACGGGGGAAGAAGTGCGTGGAGGATGGAGTTTAGTTCATCTATTTTATTTTCAACATAAAATGCACTGCCAGAAAAATCTGTGTTCTCATTAGGGGGGATAATGACTCACACAGAGAAACTGTGCAGGTCCAGGTCCCCCAGTTCCACAGAACCCATGGGCTCAGGAATGCAGCTCACCTGCCCAACCCGGGAACTGCCTCTGCAGGGACCCTCCCTCCCTCCCACGTGGATGCCGCCTGCCTGCATCTTTGCTTGTGATCTGAAAGTAACACCTGCCTCTGTCCCTAAATGCCAGTGACGGTCCAGACTGCCAAACCCAGGACACACAGGGGGTCAAACCCTCTGAGGCTCATCTTCACCAGCAGGCCCATTGAGATTCCTTGTGAAAGATTATTCACCTTACCAGGCAAAGAGATTCTTATCATCACCTTTGTCCATTCTGCCCTGGGGTTGGGGGTGTGTGATACTTAAACTTAGAAGAAAAGAGGCTGGACATGAGGCCCTGGGCCAGTGTGTGGGTGTGCCTGGTCTCCTGCAGGCCAGACTGCGGCCCTGCCTGACTGGCTCCCCTTTCTTGGGGCAGGAGGCTGACCAAGTCCACGCTGCTGCTCATCCCGCTGTTTGGAGTCCACTATGTGGTGTTTGTGGTGTTTCCCATCGGCATCTCCTCCACATACCAGATACTGCTCGAATTGTGCATCGGATCATTTCAGGTGCGTGTGGAGGGGCTGCCCCTGCCCGAGGGCTGAGTGGCCGCTGACGCCCCTTCCTGCCCACAGGGCCTGGTGGTGGCGGTGCTCTACTGCTTCCTCAACAGCGAAGTAAGTCCTCGGCGCCTCGGGACCCATGTGTGAGGGATCCCCCTGCCTGGAGGAGCCTAGGCCTCCGCCGTGGCCCCACGGCTCACATGAAAGCCTCATCCCACGTCCGCGTGCCCCCGTACCAGTGGAGAGATGGCACAGCCTCTCTTCACTCCAAGCCAGGGCTCCACCAGAGGTCCCCCACCCCGCAGCCCCAGGGCCAGGCCTGCAACCTGCAGAAGGACACCCACACCCTGGGGCCCTGCTGGGGGCTCCACTGGGCTTGTCAGGCTGCTCCCTGCCCTCCTCTGGGGGTGGTCTCCCGGCCCACCGACTTTCCCTCGGGCACCTCTGGGCTCACGGGTTCCTCTGCCATTCCTCAAGACCAGTGCTTCCCCAGTCTGCCTTCCTGCCAACCCACCCCACATGGGGAGAATCACAGCACCCCCCATCAAGCCCTACTGCCTGTTCACCAGGCATCTTCCATACCCAGGGGCTCCCCAACCAGAGGGGTCAGCCTGGGGGCGTGTGACCCGCCTCTGCGCAGCCACCCGCGCTCACTCCTGGGGGCTGTCCACTCCCTGCCCGCTGTCTCCCCCTCTCTGTGCTCCTCCCCAGAGCCTGGGCCTAAGCCCACCGTCTCTGGCTGCTCTGCCCCTCTCTGTCCTCGGGGTCTGTGCAACGCCCCATCTGCCTCTCCTTTCCAAACATCCCTCAAACGCACTTGGCAGCGAACCATGGTCCAGGTACCTCCAATCCTGCTGCTGAGGTGCTTCTGAAAACCTACGTTAACCCTGGGCCCAGGCCCTCCCGAAACCAGTCACTCAAGGCCTGGGTCCTCCAGCCTGACCCACCCAGCCAGCAAAGGGAGGGCAGCTTGCTCACGGGGTGACTCCTGGTGGGACCCCTGAGCGGCGTGTTCTGGCTTACATACTTGCTGACCCCCAGGTGCAGGGTGAGCTGAGAAGGAAATGGCGAGGTCTGTGCCAGCGCCAGCCCACCTGCCGAGACCGCAGGCTCCATGGCTGGTCCTCCTGGAGAAACAGCTCAGAGAGCGCCCTGCCGTGCCCCCGGGGCTCCCGTGCCCCATCCTTCCTGCAGACAGAGACCTCGGTCATCTAGTCCACAGGCAGATGCCGGCAGTCCCCGCGGTGAGTCTGCGCTCCTGGGCTCGCCCCACCGCAGGACTGGGGGTGCATGGCAGCCAACACAGATCCAAGTCTGATTGTTGTCACTCCCTCATTCCGGCAATTTTGTTCAGAACATTGTTTGGCCACACAGACAGACCCATTTTCAAAGACAGCAGAGGACCCCATGGCCCCTGAAATGAGATGCAGGGGGCCAGAAGGGGGCCCAGCCGCTGCAGAAGGAAGACAAGGGACTCTCTAATGTCAGCACCTGCTCTGGGCAGGGAGCCCAGGCCTGAGCTGGGTGCTGGCCAGCGACCTCCCTCTGCGCAAGCCTACCTCTGCTTCGTGCCTATACCACAGGGCAGTCCTCTTGTCTGCAGGACAGGTGCCCAGAGGCCGGCTCAGGACTTCCCATGAAATTACTCCTGCAATCCCGTTAACCCAGCCCGCCTGGGCACCTCTGCGCTCTGTCCCCATGCCCCAGGTCCAGCTTGAACCACAGGCTCTCCACTCCCTGCTTCTCTGCCAGGAGAGCCACCCAGTCCAGGGAAAGTGCATAGAGGGTGTCCCCTAGGGAGCACGTCACCCCAGGGCCCCTCAGCCCCCAAACACATGTCTCAGGGGCCACAGCAGGGGAGGCCACCAGTGGTGGTGGAGGCCTGCTCTGCTGCAGACACACCAGGTGGCTGCCCAGCTGTGTGTCTTCAATGTGTGAGTGCCACACCCAGTGAAGCCTGGGCCGGGAGCTGGCAGAGCCAAGTGGCAGTGTCCAGGGCCCTCCTAGCTGTTACCAGGTCCCCATGCCTGTCCTGGCTGCTGCCAGGCCCTGGTGTTAGTGGTGCCATGGGGATAGTGACACACTGAGGCCCATGCACGGGAACCAGTCTACCCTTCCTGGGAAAGGGAAAACGGTGCAGAAAGTATTTACTAACAGCCAGTGGACCTGGTGACCACAGAGTCAAGGGGTGTCATTTTACAGTGTCATAAACATGTAGAAATGTCCAGTCACCTGAACCTCAATGAAACCTGATTTCGCATCTGTAGGCTGAGCAGGAATTCACTTGGACCCACACATCCTGATGGACTCAGCCTTTGTAGCTGAGGACATCACATTCAGAGATGTCCCTGCCTCCAGGGTGGCCTGGGAGGGAGAGGAGCAGGTGGACACACAGTGCCTCCTCGGGGCAGAGACAGGCACCCACCCCAGGCCCCCCACCCAAGCAGGGGTGCGGTGGCGTGGCAGCCGGGCAGCTGCATCTGGAGAGTCTCCCTGCGCACCAGGTGGAACCTCACCCAGACTGGGGAAGGCCCTCGACTGATTGGGAAAGAATCCTCCATCATGTCAAACAAGTGCCAGCAAGGTAGGAATTCTAATTAAAGCAAGAGTAGGAGCGAATGTCAGCAGCTGTAGAGTAAGGAAGAGCGGAGGGAGGGAAGGGAAAATCACCGACCCACTGCTCCACGTGGAGCAGAGCCCTTGCCAGTTCCTACTCCAGGGTCACCGGGTGCCCAGCGTCTGTGTGATCTGCACGGCATGGGAACTGTATCCCTACCACCCCAGGATTTGGGGGAGCCGCAGAGCACTGGGTGGAATGAGTTTATGTTCTGAGAACTTCCACTTCCCTACTGGTCTGAAATAAGACAGGGAAAGAGAAAAGGATCATGTTGGGACTTAGAAAGCTGAATGAAATAGCAAGGTGACAGAGACGTCCCCACAGAGGTGGAGGCTGGTGAGCTCCTGTCTTTATTGTGGAGAGGAGCTCAGAGACAAGTGCAGTCGGCTTCTGCAACGATAAAGTGTATTTGATAAGACAGCACACGTTCAGATGGAGTGGGGCAACCTCAGCGAGGAGGTGCACTTAAGGGGTTACGGTTTGGGATTAGGGCCTTTTGGATAGGGTCGGCACAGGGCATGATTTAGAAGCTGATTCATAATTCCTTTGAAGTTTTGTCTTAAGATAGGGTTATTTAGGTAACTATTGATCTGGATCTTGGCATTCTTTACCCATGTAGGTTCATTTACACTCACGCCTCCAGCCCACGGCAGACTTCCTCCAGTGCAGACCCACTGGACTCAAATGGGGTCCTCTCTTCCAAGCCTGGTGCCTTGTGCTCTAAATACAATTAGAAAACAGAAGCCCGAGGCACTGGCCCCTCCAGCGGGGACTGCCAGCAGGGTGCGTCTCAGGTCCCGTGTCTGAGTAGGTCATTATGGCTCCATTGTACTTGTCTCCTGCACTGGGTTCTCTGAGTGGGTGGGAGGAAGGAGGTGCTGATGGGGGTGGGCTCTGCTGGTGGAATCAGGAGCAGCTGTCCCAGAGGAGGGATAGACATAGCCTTGGGACGGCGGCCCTGGGTCAGGGCCAACATTGCCGCCCAAGGAAATAGCTCCTGGTCCATGGAACAGTCTTTGGTGGCCATGCATCATCCCTCTGGGTCCTCCTGAGCCTCCAGTGGAACTTGGAGGGTCTAGGTCTAGTAAGGCTCTAGTTAGCAACCTCACGCCGTTCTATCCTGGGGATCCCCAAATGTTCATTTTTCAAGCTGTACTTTAATATGTTGGGGACAGTAGACATGTGCACATGAGCTGTGACAAGGCCCCTCTCTTAACACCAGTTTAGATCAAATGGATTTCACAAATAAGCTTGAGGGAAAGGAGAGGGGAGGGTGGGAGGCCAGCCTGTCTGCAGAATGAAATCTCCACGTCCTGTTATGGAATATGACTGTGCTGTACTAGCAAGAGCCGAACAGATGCCTGCTTGCACAGCCTGCATCCTCCCTGCCTTGGGCACAGGCCGGGCACCTACTGTGTGCAAGGCGAGCACAAAGCCCCAGGGGTGATGGGGAGAGATCCAACCTACTTCTGCTCCAGAGCTTGCGGCCCCATGAAGCCGGCAGAGCACGCCGGAGGTAAGACAGCCACACATGCTCACACATGGGACTGGTGCCCTGGGAGGTCCCAGGACATGGAGTGCTACGGGCAGGGGGCCTCCCAGGACCTTCCAGGTGAAAAGCACTCCCGTTCTGGGGCGGAACTTCCCCACTGCTGGCTAGTGGAAGCTGCGTGTGGCCCAGAGAGCCCGGACCGTGTTGGGACGCCCCCTGGCCGCCTCTCTGCTGGGTAATGCTGGGTCGGCAAGGCCATCCTGGGCTTTCCCAGATACCAGCCCAGAATTCTCCTCTCCCTATGTCCCCATTGTGACTGCGTGCAAAGTCCACAGAACTTACTTACTTGTATTATTTTTATACAAGGACAATTTTTAATATGAAAGCATAATGCAAAATGTGTCTGAGTAGATGTTCAAACAGTGCCCAAAGCAGCAGCCCACAAAACCTTCCAGGGAACAGCTGGCAGTGGCCATTTAAACAGACTGGCTCCTTAGTTTAGAACTGCATATATGCCATTTTGTGCAGGACTAAGAACATTGTTCATTAAAGACACTTCATGTAGGTTTGTTTGGAATCTAGTAACAGAGGAGACAATATTATAAGCTCTTCTAAGTAGAAATACTCTCAGAGAAGAACGCACTGGACATGACTATTTCCTGTGAAGCTAAGGAAACACTAAAGTGTGTGCTTTTTCCATTCAAAAAATAGTGATTTATTTACTGGGTAACATTCTTGTAAAATAAATGATGTACAGTATACTCGTCCTCCATCCACATGACACATGTGCACACAGACGTAGGAGCACACACCCTCATGTCCTCGCTGGGTCCTGCGCAGCGCCATCCTCATGACGGCACCAGCGGTCTGTGGCCCCCTTCCTACCCGGCTTCCTGCAGAAGCAGCCGCAGCCTCCTCCGCTCGTCTCCCGCCGGGGTCACCCACGCCTTCCTCAGGTGCTGCACGTCCATGCTGCCAGAGGCTCTAGCCAGCACCAGGGCCAGGAAGCTGCCCCTGGTCCTCTCTGCCTCTCCCATTACAGTCATGGCCACCACCCTGCAAGTGAGAGGCGCACGCAGTGATTCTGAGTGTCCCAAACCATCTGCCTTCTAGGGAAGAGAGAAAAGGAAGAGAAATTCTACAAATTTGGTAACAGTCAGTGAAAAGTTATGCCAGAAATAAACATATAAAATTTGATAGAAACCATTGTGGGCCTAGTTCTGCACTTAGAGGTCTGCTGGATTGGCTGCAGGGAACAGTGTGGACCCAGGACACGCTGCCCTCAGACAGACAGAACCCACAGGCTATACCGCCAGCCCAAAGCCCTGGGCTCCGCCCCTGTCAGCATAGCTCAGCCGGTGAGAGACCCGGACCCATCTTGGCCGCCCCACCTGCCCCCCCATCTCCCTGACCAGGCCCATCTCTAGACTTGCCGCTTGGCTGACAGACTCCACGACATGCACCAGGTCCTCTGTCCCTCCATCCCCATAAGCGTGGAAACACGGTCAGGACCATCACTAGCCAGTTTAAAATGTCCTTCTGATGTGTGGGCCTGACAGAACCCGAGCAGCAGGGTGGGAAACCAGACAAGGTCCAGGCCCAAGATTAGCTGCAACATCTGTGCTGCCCCTGCTGAGCAGGTAGTCATCCTCATGGTTTTTGAATTTTTCCTAAAAGTGGCAAATTCTTCCTTCTATCTAGACTCTTGCCTTTCAACTCGAATTTCTTTCTGTTCTGCTTTTCTCTGATGCTAAGGAAAAGTAACTGGCTGCTTACTGTGGCTGTTACTCCCTCAGCCTAACCACTGAGGCAGGTGTCCAGGGAGAGGGGCTCTGCCTGCTCCTCGCAGTTCCAGCCGCCACCCTCTCCCGAGATTGGACACATTGATCAGCCACATCAGCCCCCACAGGCACAGTCTGTCCCAGGACTTAGGGGCCTGCCCCTGCCCTCAGGCTCCTCTGTGGAACATCCCTGCCTCAACAAGACCTCCCCTGCCCCATTTAAAGCCCCAGCACCACTGCCCACACACTGGATACCCCCGTGTCCTGCATGCACTGTGGGGCTGGCTCATTTACCATACCTTGTCTATTACCTTCTTGCCCCAGCAGGACCGGCTCACACTGCACCCCTCGTGCCTGGAGCAGATCTGCCCCCCACAAACACCTGCTTTATTAAACGACTGGCAGACAGTCTTTGGAATAACTAAGTGCATTCTGTGCTTATATGAGTTGCAGCCCAGTGTTACGATGTACTGTTCAATGACTAAAATAATATAAGTATACCTAGTGCTTTAACTAAATAAATGCACTCCTCATTTTTATTCAGGCCTTATCAGCATGTCCCCAGTATCCTGGCAAACTGCTTCCTGTTCGATCCCCCTGACCCTCCTCTTTCCTTTACAAAAGGGACGTGGGGTACAGTGGGTGGCTCCCCATCCTCCTCAGATGGTCACAGCCCTCACAGGAGGGGACTTACTGACAAGAAACATAAAATCTCAAGGACTCTCAAGGAAAAAAAGTGGGGACCAGAGAGAGTCCTTCATAAAGAAAGCATCAAATTTAATAAGACGACAGGGACAAGGGATTATTTACAGTGCACTGATGACAACCCCCCATCTGGCACTAGCCCAAGGGGCTTCGCATG